CTCACGCGCACCCGGAGGGGGGAGCTCCCTTCACGCGCACCCGGGCTGCAACATCCCCAGCGGCGCACGGACCTAGCCCGGGATGCCCCGGAGGAGCGGGCGAAGGGGGCTCGTGCGCCGCCACCGCGCTCTCCTGCCCCCCTCTGAGGGGGGGTCAGTCCGGTCCGGCGGGGAACCCCCCCCGCAGGGACCCTGCCTCTCCTTTCCCTCGCTCCGCTGGCCTGGCTGGGCTCGCCCCGCGTTACACGGGCAGAGGCGTCGGGCGGGTTGCGTGGCCCAGCCCTGGGGAATTCACAGGTCGCTGCGACCGGGCGGCGGGGGCGTCTCTCCCGAGGGAGCTGTTCCTCCCAGAGGGCAGGAGGGATACAAGCGGGGTGCCAGGGGTGGCGTGTGGGAGGGGCTGGTGCCAGGCCGGTGCAGAACTGCAGAGAGCTCGCCGCGGGGGGGGGGGGTGGTATGGCTGGTCTGGGGAGAACCAGGCACTCCCGTCCCTCCCAGTGGCTTTCTCTATTCAGAAAGCAACTTACTTGGCCTCGGGCACGTCACTTCACTACTTAGCTTCGGCTTCCCCCTCTGTAAAAGGGGTGGTAATAAGGTAACCCTAAATGACCTACGTCACAGGGGTTGTTTGGATTAATTAGTTGGTACGTGTAAACGCCCTCTGAAGCGGTGTTCTTCCCAGCCGTGTGGGCAGCACTCCAGGTTCATGGAAACCAGCAGAGGCAGAGCATGCCGGCTGCACCTGACTGCAGCGTGTCTAACTGATTCTCCACCTTCAGTGGGGTAAAACGGGGGAGGCAGGCATAAGATGACATGCCAAAAATGCTGCTTCTGAATGCTTTTGACTGAAAATCCCTGCAAGCAGCAGGGAGATGACTGTCACAGTGCCCCTGCTGCCACCACAGGCAAATGCTTTGCCACCCACTGAAAGAGGCTGGCTACTGCAGCTGATCCATTACATAATAATGGCAGCTTTCCAGTAGGCATAGACACAGAACATGCCACATCTGTCATCAGGTAATTTAGCTGTTTTTTTTTTTTTAAGTCTATAGTTTGGAGTAATCTTGATAAAATGCAGCATCGAATCTGACCAACTGCACTATCTTCCATGTGCATTTCTGCAGTCAGTGGGGAATACCCCAAGCCTTGACATTTGGGCTGGAATGCCGCTGAGAGTAACTGGTATCAGGAGTGCAGGGCTTTGTGTGAACTGTAGCCATGAGCGGAGTAGCACTCAGGCATGATGTGGGCTGAGGGGACTGCAGCTGAGCCCAGGGCCAAAGGCAGAGTAGCCAACTACCAGATTTAGTGATGTGCCCCATTGGGGCAGTTGTCGAGGTCAGTGGCTGATTTAAGACAACTGGTAATGTGAGAGGGGACATGGGGGGCAGGGAATCAGAGTGTAAATTACAGGACTGAGGCTGCTGTAATTTAGGCCTGATCTACATTTTAAAAGTTTTACCAGCATAACTGTATGATTTTTGTACTGACATATTTATGCCAATAAAAGCCCTAGTGTAGATCCATTGTAAGGCACTTACCTGTGTACTTGATTTCACTTTGCTGAATCAGAATAAGCCTAGTTAAAGCGGCAACACTTCTATCTATGGACGAGGCCTCAAACAAGGAACCAGGAATGCCCTGTACAGCCTCTGAATTCCCCAAGAGAAGGAACAGAATAACGGGGAACTAGGACCAGCTAGGTAAGAGTGTAACTGTTTGTTTTATATCTCGTAGGTGTCAAGCGAGGTTTAATTCTTTGATCTTTGTTAAGCAGCTGAGACTCGGCTGCCAGCTGTTCTGCAAAGGCTAAGGATGATTATAGTGAAGTGTAACTGCCAAAGCAAACCCTTTTGTTTTGGGGGTACATGGTCATTTCCCCTGCCACATGCTGAACAAGGAGAGGCCAGATCACCAAATAGAAGGTATATTTACCTAGATAAGGTAATAACAGAACTTTAGCACCCAGCGTTTGTCAAAGATTTCTCTATCTCCTCTGAGAGTCTTGTGGCTAGGAGCCTGAGGTCAGCAAGTACTTTGCTGGAGACTAGAGACGGCATTTGTTCTAGAGCAGGTGGCATGCTCATTTCCGGATACACCGTAATTTGAATGCATGTGTGGTGGCAGAAGTGCTAAAAGAGTTTAGAGTTGTAGACTTGTTACACTAGAAGGTGACTCAGTTAACGAAACTCTATCAGGACAACGTAGGCCCAAAACGGAGGTTTTATAAAAATCTTACTTGTCAGAAAGAAAAATTCCCCTGCGGTGTCTGCAGCCTAAACAGTACAGTATAGCTACTGACCGAGAACCACAAAATGCAGCTAACTGTTCTCTCACTGAGTATTGTCTCATCTGTGTTTTACAGCCCAACCCTGCAGTTTCTACCAAGCATAGCATTCACTATCCTGATCAATCCACTCATTTCAAGTGTCTCCATGGTTGGGCCCTTCAGCCATGATCCTGCAAACTTAAGTATGTGAGTAGTCCCATTGACTTCAAAGGGACTACTCGTGTGCCTAAAAAGTAAAGCATGTGCATAAGCATTTGCAGGATCAGGGAGTTAGATCAAAAGCTCTTCAGAGCAGGAATTGTCTTTATTAATGTTAGCTACCGTGGTACTTAAATAAATTCAATAACAATTATTACAAAAGAGAAACTAACTCTGTTGTTAATTGCTAAAGCGGAGATTTGTAATGCAAATAAATAGTGGAAAAATAAATTAGACATTTAAAATCCTTTGTTTTAAAGCTGTAAGTTATTTGTACCACAGTTAAGGGCATTTAAAAATCATATATAGATATAGCTATATAATTTTTAGCTGCTAGCATACTTTCATTTATCCCCCTCTCCATACTTCTCTTTATCAAACAATAGAAATAATTAGGGTTATGGTAGGGGATTGCTAATGGAAAATTCTAGCTTTCTGGTTCAGGGCCAGATATTTTTTACCTCCTCTAAGTTTTAAATTTAAAGTAAAAATATATTTGAACTAGTTCATGCCCACTGGTTGTTTGAGTCGTGTATGTTCTTTGAGACAGTATATTCCTGCAATGGATGGTGACCTAGAAATCCAGATCAGAGGTAATCCCCCATTATTTAGCCCTTTTACTATTGGTATGTTTGCCAAACAATGCTCCATGTCAGATTTCACTGATGACCTTAAGGGTGGTTGCCAAGGATTTTGGATTCCCCCCTAAAAAGAGAGTCCCAATGAAGTTATTACATTCTTGGGCATCAAGTTAGATTGAGGGAGAATTAAATTACACTTTCATGAGGTGCCAGGCACAGCTTTCACAGGCTGATGCAATCATTAATTTGTCACCTTGATTTTGTTTGCAGAGCCATTTCTCCATGGCAGACTTTTTTTTACAATGCCCGATTGAAGCTATAATGAAATGTTAAAAGTAATGGCATTATTTTCTAGAGCTATTAAGGGAGAATCTGGCATTTCCAATGGTTGTTATAGAGCATTTAATGTCATAGGATAACAACAACTTGTGTCCAACAAGGATTTGTAGTTGTTTACAGATGTGTTGGCAGGAAAGGGTTTGGCTTTTGTTTTCCCAGGTGTGCAGAGGTCTGGCTAACAGCACTGAGTTAATGGAGCTCTACCCCGGAACATTTCCCCCCATAATTATGGCAATGGTAATTTTGGGTAAAAAGTTCTTCAAAGCATTGGCACTGATATCTGATTTAAGAATATGTGGAGAGTTAACAGATGGGCAGTGGATTCAGGCCTGCGATAGAGTTACTGAGGGAGGTTTTGTTTTAAAATGTCTCTTACTTAATATACCCATGAAGGCCAGGCATGTGCCCATGGGCTGTAATCAAATAACTGACTCTCCCTCTCTCATTTCCAGCAGTCTCGTTTCAGGTTACTGGCACCGGAGGTTAAAGAACATCCACGTCAAATACAAAAAGCCCTTTGGTAATTAAGGGTATCGAGACTAGGCGGAGGAGAATGGAAATGGCTAGCTCTCAGCACATGATAGGTCTAATCTAAGGGCCTGTATAATTAACATACATTACTTTCTGCAGGGGTAAAGGTTTATATGGGATCTGGTTAATTCTAATATAAGAGATAGTCCTGTCTGCATTACACAGGAGTGGCGGAAGCTAGGCTTATTTCCCGGCTGGTCTTTAGTTAGTAGGTGCGGCAGTTCTGTTCCCAAGGCAGGCAGGTCCCAGATCTCAGTTCCAGTGAGAAGAATGTTAAAGGGCTAAGGGAGGCAACAGGGAGTTGTCAGGTAGACAACACAGCATCATTCATCAAGTACTGACAGCTTTACTGGAAACCAAAGACAAAATGTGCAATAGTTATGCTCCTGGGTAAACATAGCATTCATTATGTCATTTTTAGGAGTGTTCAGGATCAGTGACTCAGTTGGTCTCTAAACGAGACCTAGGAATGTTATTTCTCAATATTGTCATGGATGAGTCTGAGAATCCACATTTATCAGTCTACAAGATGGATGTAAAAGGTTGCAATGCATGGGTTAGCTACATAGAACATTGGATACAGTTCTTCATCTAGTTCTGCTTGGTACATCTTCAGATACTTACCAAGGTTTGGATTTAACCCAACCAAGTATGCCACCTTTCGATTCATTTATACGTGGATCACCAACTCAATAGCACAGCTGAGTGTGACAGAATATAGGATCAAAAGATTCATCCAAAAAGTTTGAGACATTTTATTCATATATAAGGATTACCATGGCACTGATCACTGTCATATCTAATTTGTGGTTTGGAGACAATGAGATTGTTCTAGCTGTTACCACTGAGATATTTGTGTTCTTTGATAAAATACTAAAAAAATAATTCAATGAGGTTTAGGTCTGTGGCTACTCTGATGTCCTAGGTCAGGATCCTTCCCCCAGAAGGACCCATGGATTGCTGTTGGTGATGCATTGGCTGGAGGATGCCAAGCTAAAATCATTTAGTAAAACACATGAAGTGGAATCAAGTGAAGGTTGTTCTTCTCTTTGTCTGAAGATGTTTGCCGGTACTGAATGTGCTAGTGGGAGGTGATATGGGAGGAAACTAATTCATAATAAGACTTTTGCCCACTTTGAGACTGTTTAAGGAACCGTGGCCAGCCTGGTGCCAAAAAAGGCAAATCCATATAGCAAAGAAACAATGGAGAGCCACAGAACTTGTTCTGTTTAACCATTTCTTTGCTGACTGACTACTGTCTTGTGAAGTAAATTCAGTACATACACACACACACACACACACACACACACTTTACTGGCAGTGTTCCACCAACTGGCTTCATGCTGTAACTTCTCACGCATCACTGTCTTATTGTAGTAGAACAGGGATGGCCAAACCATGGCTCGTGAGCCACATGTGGCTCTTTTACAATTAAAGTGCAGCTCTCAGAGCCCCCCTATTCTCCACCTACCAGACTACTTGGAAGAGCTCGGGGCTTCTGCCCTGCGGTGGGGTGCTGGGGCTAGGAGCTTCTGCCCGGAAGGGAGGGGGTCTTGGGGCTTCAGCCCTGCAGAAGGCACCTGCCAGGGCTCGGGGCTTCAGCAGGAGCAGGGCTAAAGCCTCGTGCCCTAGCAGGTGCGCCCTGAGGGGTAGAAACCCTGAGACCCCCCAGCCCTGCAGGGCAGAAGCCCTGAGCACCGGCTCTCAAACTTCTGAAGATTATTGTATGCAGCTCGCAGGGTCAGTAAATTTGGCCATCCCTGTACTAGAATTACCAGAATCTGAGAGCCATAGCCTCAAGCATCAAGGTATTACCCCCTTGCTGTGATGGCCCATTCATATTTCAAAGAAAGCAATGGAATTTTTCACTTGACCAGAGCTCAAAGAGCCGGGAAGCTAGGACTTACTTGGGTCATTCTTCAGGATTCAAGCAGGGAAGGCTGTAGGTGGGAGGAGCAGTACTCTTAGGCAGGTGTGGCTGTGAATGTTGTCCTGTTCTGGAGAATGAGTTGTTTTCCCCACAGAGACAGAGTGGTCTAGTGAAGAGGCCATATACTGGAAGTCAGGAGATCTGGATCGCATTCCTGATTCTGCCACTAACTCAGTCTTTGATGTTAGGCAAAGTCACTTAACATCTCCATGCCTCAGTTTCTCTATCTGTAAAAGAGAAATGATGATACTTTGCAAAGTGCTTTGAGTTCTATGGATAAACATAGGACCTCATTTATTACTATTGTTAGTCTTTCTATTTTAGTAGCATCCAAATGCCCTAATCAGGATTGAGGCCCCATAAGGCATGGATACTGTCTCAGAGTGTTTTTTATTATTTCCACTTGACATAGGTAAGCACAACTACAGTCCCAGTTTGGTTAGGTTATAGCATTGAAGCAAGCCTTTAAAACGTGCTACTTGTGTAAATCTATATAAAAATATACCCAATAAGGAACAAGTAGAGCTGTACAATGTGTTTGCCTTCCAGTTAATGCCAGGATAGGGGGGCACAGATCAGCATTCATGTCTCACTCCCCGTCGGTATCCGGCCTGAGCCGGGGAACCCAATGATCCAAGCAGCGGACCCAATTCGGTGATAAACCCTACTCATATGCCACCTGAGGCACATTGCACATACTCTAAGAAGAAGAAGAATGCCAGGTCACTCATACCTTGCCCTCCTGACCTCAGACACTGCCTCCTGAGCAAAGTGAGGGATGACTGCTCATCAGTTCAGAGGAACTTGCCTGTACTGTGAATATCATTAACATCAAGGACACATTAAGGACTATTTGTAATCGTTTGTCACCAAGGTAAACAGAGAAGCAGATTTGTGAATGAAGCTGATTGGACCGAAATATGGGGTGCAGCAAGAATAGAGACATTTTTGAGATGTTACTAGAGGACAGGGAACAGAATTCTAGGATGACCTTAACTCTCAGCGATAATAGAGTAGAACAAGCCCATAGTATTTATATGGACTTGTTTAACATTCCATGCTGTTTGTAGGTGTATACGTGGGGTGTCTGTGTTCTCTCTATAAGAGGATTTCTGGGCTGTCTGTCCCTTAGGCAGCACCAATATTAAGGAGATAAAAGATTTTATAAATGAAGGCTGCAATTGTTCGGATGTGCTGGGAACTATTTCTAAACATGCACATTGGTGACTGATTTATACATGTTGTCTGTGCACTGGAAGAGGAAAGAAAGATTTGCTGGTACTTAGCATAACTGTTGCAGGAAGAAAAAAGCAGTGGAGAAAGGTGTGGCAGTGTGTTGTGTTATCTGTCTGTGCTTAGTAATGCATAGCCTCCTTCCTGCAAAGATATAGGTCAGACAAACTATGCACATAATTATAATTTTTCCTGGTCACTCCAACAACTTAAAAAATCTGGATCTGAACACACTGGCATCACTGAAGTAGTTTGGATCTGTAGCTAAGACAGTATCACAGGTCATTTTCTCTATAACAAACCAAACACCTGCATCAGAACCCCCTTGAATTTTCAGCATGGCCCATCTGTATCCTGAACCAGATGTGTCTCATGATGTGGAGATGGCATAACTGTCTCTGTAAATTCATCTGGAATACACATTAAAGGAACCTAAATGGAGTATGTAGTATTCATGGTGGGTTTATGTGTAATCAAAATTATATGCAGTTTTGCTCACCATATTCCTTAGATGTGAAACTATCATTTGTAGTATTGAGATGCCCATGCAGATGTAGCTAAAATCCTGCAGTCATGTTTCCTAATACGAGAATAATCTAACTACCAACTACAGGAGAAGAGATCCATAACTAAGTAGAAATTACAACCAATTGAAACGGGGAAAACTAAAAAATAAACCTAATACACAGTTTCCTTAAGAAAAGGACTCATGGTTAACAAGTGTCACCCATGATGCCCCCCACACTTTATGTAATGGAGTTTTAAAATAGTTTGGCCATAACTATATTAGCAGCTTTTTGAGTGGAACCCAAGGTGGAACAATCCCTGTCCCAAGGATCTTAGTGCATCTGCAATTGGTACTGCTGTGCCATCTACAGAGCAAAAGTCCCCACATGAATTCTCACCTAATGCCAAAATGGAGAACAGATGTTTCATTTTACAAGTATTGAACAAAGATGGCATCAGGTGCCTCGGGTCCCCAGATATCAAAGTGATCGTTTGATTTAAGAATGTAACAATGAGCAACCAACTGGTAAGAAACAGCTAAGGACCAATATCTAATTGAGACCAGCTGGTCTCCAGGGTTTCTACATATGAATTCAATTAGTCTCTGCGTCAGTAATTCTCTGTTCCCACCCTGTCATGGTTTTGGAATAAATACTGTACTATTGCCATGGATCTCCAGGTGCTGAGTGTGTGTCCCGTAGTTATACAGTCCTTGTCTAGTGATGGCTTTGTCTTTTTCTTTCTCTCTTTTTAAACTCTGCTTTTAGATTCTGTTCTCTGGCTTTTCATGCTTGGAGGTTACCCGTATAATTGTGAGCCAGTGAGAACACAATAAAAGTCATCATAAATTCAGGATCACATGGCATCTAGGTCTGATGTTCCTTCTTTTACCATTATTAAGACGATAATAAGCATGTTTACATTTTTATAATAATTTTGCACTATGCATAGACAGCCTAATTCTCTGTTGTGCTTAAGCCCCTTTATGTTGATTTTGGTTGATTTGAATAAAGGATCCTTAAACCAGAAGGCAGCAATCACTTCCAGGGACTGCCCCCGGTGTGAGAAGATTCCCTGGCCAGCTAGAGGTGTCAGAAAGACTTACACCAAGCTCCTCTCTGGTCCCCAGTGCAGGGTGTGTGTCAGAGGGGAAGGGCTGTGCCTTTAAGGGATCATTGTTGGACCAAATATAAGTTTGAGCTGCGGAGCAGCCATCAGTCCTTCTTAAGTCAATGGGAACTTCGAGCGCTTTGTACATCTGCAAATCAGGCCACTGCATTAGAAGGAAAATTTTCAAAGGCACACATGGAAGTGAAGCACCCAGCTTCCATAGACTTTTACTGGGAGCTGGACAACTAACTGCGCTTCCTACCTTTGAAAATCTCCCTCTGGAACCAAAATATGTATTTAGGAGTCCTTTGAACAGTTTGCCTTAAATATCTGAGACTACATTTCTAACCTAGGCAAAATGCATTCTAATTTCTGCAATGCTGAATACTGGCTCCTCTTACTCACAGTGCCAAACTTCACTGATAGTATTGCATCTGAAACCACCAACTTACAATTATGTAACAGTAGCATGGTTTTAAAAGATGCTGTCCTTGTAATAGGACACATGAAGGTGGAAATTACCATTTGTCTGACCGCTACCAAACTTTAGAGCTGACAAACAGCTGTTTTCCTGTGTAAGGAAGTTCGTTCATGCAGAATTCAGAAAATTAGCTACTATGATCATTCAAATCTAATCGTTGAGCTTTTTAGCCCTTTTTAAAATATATATATTTAAAGGTGTGGTTCAGTACCCCATGCTGTGTTTACCAAGCTGTGTATTTACACTTATTTACTACTTTTCAGAATTCAAAGTGATTAGGGAAAAATGGAAGAATTCATGCTGCAGGACAGGTCTGAACAAAGAAGAGCAGAACATGGTATGTTGCAGTTACATGCTGGAAGAGCACCCTTCTCCTCTGCATTCTTCTAAGTCACCTTCACCAAAGACAAACTATCAAAATACTCCTGAAGAGAAATTTTATTGCCCTAAGAATGAGCACACTTGTACTAAATAGCAGATATGCTAAACACCAATACTGGGACAGGCTACCCGTTATGTCCCCTAATAAAAATGTTGCCCCAATATGCCTTTTCAAATTCTACAACTTAATCTTCACCATTGTTAATAGGCCAGATCTTCAGCTGGGGTAAATCAATGTAGCTGTACTGAAGTCAGCAGAGCTATGCCAGTTTACACCAGTTCAGATTCTGGCCCAATATTTTCAGTATAGCTTTCAGAACAGAAACATTTCTAGTGACACGCGACTTCATATCAGTTTGTCATCTTAAGGTTTTATGATTGAGAGAGTTTTTCTATTTAAATCAATTCCTCATTATTTATTTATTTATTTTTAAACAAACACATGTCCACATATTCTTCAAACACATGCATCCCTAGTACATTGGATTTGGTACGGGCTAGAAGGGGCAGGGGCACACTGACACATGCAGCTCAGACTCCTTCTCCCAGCGCAGCGGCTGCTCCATGCAATTATTGTAATTGCCAGCAGGGACGGCGTGCTCGGGGAGGGGGCGTAGCAGAGGTGAGCTGGGGTGAGGAGCCCTGCGGCAGCTCCCCACCCTCCCTGGGGCACTCCCCCCTAGGGTTACCATATTTTAATTTTTAAAAAGGAGGACACTCCATGGGGCCCTGGCCCCGCCCCAACTCTGCCCCTTCCCCGCCCCCAGCCCCGCCCCAACTCTGCCCCCTCCCCTGAACACTCCGCCCCCTGCTCCTCCCCCTCCTCTGCTTCCCGCGAATCAAATGTTCACGGGAAGCCTGAAACAGGGAGGCAGCAGGCAAGCTGGGGCAGGGTGCGGCGTGGCGCAGCTCAGTCCGGCCCCCCTGGCCGAGCGGCTCCCTTTGGCGGCCGGCCGGCCGGCCCAGGCCAAGAGGCTCTGGCCCCGGTGTCTCCCGCCCGGCTGGGGCCCCGGCCCCCGGCCTGGCCCCCAGCCCTGCACCGCGCCAGCCCCTGGCCCAGCACCACGCCGACCCCGGTCCCGGCCCCCAGCCAAGTGCCCGCGCCCCAGGCCCAGCACTGCGCCCAACCCCGCACCGCCGCGCCCTACCTCCCTATTTTCCCGGACATGTCTGGCTTGGGATTTCCCCCCCGGACGGGGATTTGAGGCCCCAAAAGCCGGACATGTATGGGAAAATCCGGACGTATGGTAACCCTACTCCCCCCGCGGCAGCTCCCCACCCACCCCCCCCAGCCCAGGGAACCATGCGGCAGCTCCCCACCCCAGCTCACCTCTGCTCTGCCCCCTCCTCGAGCACACCGTCGCTGCTCCACTTCTCCCGCCTCCCAGGCTTGCAGCACCAATCAGCTGTTTGGCACGGCAAGCCTGGGAGGGGAGAAGGATTAGAGTGGGGGCGGCATGCTCGGGGAGGAGGCGGAGCAGAGGAGAACTGGGGTGGGGAGCTGCCGCACAGCTCCCCGGGGGGGGAGCTGCTATGCGGGGGGCACCTCAGGGCAGAGGGGGGGAGCTGCCGTGGGGGGGGTGCCTCAGGGCGGGAGGGGTGGGGAGCTGCCGCAGGGCTGGTGTGGGGGCGCAAGGTGGAAGTTTTGCCTAGGGCGCGAAACTTCCTTGCACCAGCCCTGCCCCTCTGCAATAGGTTGGGGAAGATGTGGGGTAGCTGGCTCAGAGGGTGTATTAAGTGAAATCTGTAGACCATGCTCCCTGGTACTAGACCCTGACCAGAGTGCCAGAGCCATGGAGAGTCTGCTGGGTGTAAATCTCTCATCCCAGAGTTGTGGGGTACGGGGACAAAGGTTGCCTTTCAGGGCTCCTCTCCCAGACAGCACTTTTTCATTGCACACCTAAGCACAGGCTAAGGTTGAGCTTTGGCTCCAAATCTTTGCATTATTTCTTTCCTTGTTCAAGAGCCACTTAAAAAATGTCTTTGCTTTCCATTCAGGAGAAGTGCAGGGACTTGGCTCCTGCTGGAAAGAAAGTGCAAAAAGTGAAGCTACTGCTCCCTGTGAGCTCTGCTTCCTTGCATTTGATTTCATTTTTATGTTAGCAGGGAGACGCTCATTTACTGCTTGCTGCTGCCGTTTCTGGAAAGTACATGTTCCAGTTGCAGTTTCCTATGGAACGTCTTTACCAATGAAGAGACCATCAGGATCTAACTGCTGTATCTGGAAACCCTTGGGGGAGAGAGGCACATTTCTAGCTTGTCATTCTGCCTGGATGAGATTGGAGGCTCATTACCGAATTAGAATATTATAAACCTAACAACACACAGCTAAATTTCAGGTTTCCAAAGTCATTCTTCATAACTCCCCCTCTCCCACCCCCTCCCCCACCCAATAGACTGCAGCCCCTTTGTCAGATAAACTTTCTAAAGAACAGCACTGAAGAGGAAGGCAGGAGGGAAAGAGCAGCAGAGTGGAGTGATTAGAAAATGGAACAGGTTCTCATTGGGGTGCAGAGCATGTACGAATTACTCGAGACATTATGGATGACAGGCATCATTTCATCCTGGATCCCACCGTGACTGTAAACTTGCTCATCTGTGCATTTGCTACAGGCCTAGAATATTTTACAGTTCAAGTTATCCTAAGCACCGTTATTTCCTCCTTTTTCTCAAGAAGGCTCTGGAATAGACACCTGATCAAGAAGACCACTGTACCCATTTTTCCTTCATGATGGAACTGCCTATTATCGCTGGCTTGAGGAATTGGTGGTGGACTACAGCGCTGTACGTCACTAGTTCAACTGTGACGCCATTCAGCATGAATAAAAATTGGTGAATTATGAGAATGGAATGGATCCGGTACCTATAGCATTTTTTTAATACTACCCTAATCACTGTGGTACCCAAACTCCTAATGACAAGAATTGCAAAAACAACCCAAAATGTGCTATTAGAGGTTGGACTGCTTAGTGCCCTTATCCATTGAGTGAACGTAGAGACTCAGTTATCCTCCTACCCGTATGGACATTTGCTCCAGGACAGGGTTTTGGAGTAGCATGGGAGAAGCTGTTGTTGCTCTATTTGTGGAATGGGTGTGGCATGGACATCAGCACTTCCATCTCCTGCATTAATTCGCTTATTTTTTAAAGGAATGTTAAAGAATATGTATGTATGTGTATAAATATAAATAAAATATTACCCATTTCAAGTTACTTTGAGACAGATTAGGAGTCAGCTGGCTGTAGCCAAAGTTGTGACTAGCATTTTTGGGAAAATACCTTATTGTATCAAAACAGGTCAAGTGTAACGTGAAATGCATGGCTAGGGTGTGCAGAGATGCAGTGCAGCAGGACTGTGGGGTTTTCTCTTTTAAACCAAGTTTCTGTTATCCCTGAAGGGAGAACCAAAGTCATTTAACTTCTTAACATAAAAGAAGAGACAGAAGGAAAACTTCCTCCTTTGCCTCTTTCAGGTTGTGGCATTTCTAGAAAGCTGCTGAATCACATCCTTATGATACATCGTCATGGAAATGGGCCCCCTCAGATTTCACTCATGGAAGCAGCATCCTATTTACTTACATTTCATAGATGGTTAAGTCCAGAAGAGACCTTTCTGATCATCTAATATGACCTCCTGCCAACACAGGCCATAACTCCTGCTTTGGAGCAAATTTATTTTCACCAGTACTCCCTACTATAATATGAAACTACATTATTTCTAAATCTTCCTTTAGCGTGTGTGTGTGTGTGTGTGTGTGTGTGTGTGTGTATATATATAAGCATGCACACTTGCATCTAACCTTCCCCCCTCCTCATTAGATTCAGGCCTGGGTGTGATGCATATGTTACTCCTGGGGGAATTCTGTGTCATTGCGTGTGCACAGAATTTATGTCCTCCCACAGATTTCTTTATTTCCCAACAGAAAAATGATTTCTGACAAGGAAGCAGAGGGAAGCCACAAGAGCGGTCACGCAGCCCCTCCCTGGCAGCGCAGGCAGGTTGCAGTCAGTTGAAAATTAAATCACCACCGGTTGGGGGCGGGGGGTTGGACAGTCATACATGAGAGAGACACTCTGTCCCTCGCTCGCTATTGCAGCATGCTTGGCATGGAAGGGCAGGGCTTTGGGGTGTTTCTGAGGAGGTAGGCATGGGGCAGGCTCTGGCCCCTCAGGCAGAGCAGAATGTAGCACCCTGCCTGATTAGTGAGTTGTTCCCATTGTCTTTGTGAATTCCTCCAGGAGTATAAAACAGGTGTAAACGTTGTAAGGCTCCTTTACATTGCCAGAGTGGTGTAAAGGACAGTATGGCCTTATAAATGCTTATGGTGCTTTAGGGATTAGAACTGGTCTAAATGTTTGGACTGAAAAATTTCCTATCAAAATGTGCTCCATGAACTGTTTGCTACTGACCTTTATGGAGATGGTCAGTAGCCAAAATAAATTGTGAGTTTGATTACCCAGCCCTCACTTGTTCTTCAGTTGCCAATGATGTAACACCAAGCATATGGCTGCATATATGGTTGACTAATAACTAGAAATAAAAAGGGTCAAACCTAGCTACATTACCATTAGGCAAGGGGGCTTGAGGATTTCCTCCAATGCTCTCCACTCCCATTCTCCATACATTGTATTATAGTTTAAATAAATTACTGAAATAATTGAAACCAGAATGATTATATTGCATTATTTTGACAAACATGCAGAATTTTAAAATATTGTGCACAGAATTTTTAAATTTTTGTGCAGAATACTCCAGGAGTATTGTGTCCAGCATAGATACAATACATGTTTAGAAAGGAATTGTACTTTCACAGCCAGACCTAAATTATATTAATAGGAATTCAATATATATAAAAATATGTTATACTGCAGTGAAACATATGTCACACTGAACCATTTATCTGCTGTAACTTACTAACTAAAATGGGTACAGGATATGGCACTTAGTTAGATCGACTTTGATTAATTATGTAAATATCTAAGCTGGTTCCAAAAGATCTGCAAGCTATGTGTGGCCATGTATGTTTACTCAGTAACTACACCAGGGGTCAGCAACCTCTGGAACACGGCTCGCCAGGGTAAGCATCCTGGCGGGCCGGGCCAGTTTGTTTACCTGCTGTGTTGGCAGGTTAAACAAACTGGCCCAGCCTGCCAGGATGCTTACCCTGGCGAGCCTCATGCCAGAGGTTGCCGACCCCTGAACTACACAAATGTGGTACAAAAGGCCCCCATCCTGAAATCAGATCCACAATGGCAGACCCTTGTGCCCATGCAAATCCAATTGCAGGACTGAAGTCTGAACCATTATTTTCCATTTAGCAAAAATATTATGGCACCCTTTTTTAAAAAAAAAGAATGAGCAATAGCAGCTTACTTTACATAGCCCCAACTTTTCAAAAATGACTAACACTTTTAGGGAGTCCTCATTTTTGGGATACTCAACTTGAGACAATTGAGAAGAGCCAGAATTTCAGAAGGTGGGTGCTCAGGACTTTCTGGAAATCAGGCCCCTATAAAGTGCCTCCGTTTGAGTCCCTAAAAACTTTTGAACTAGCTATTTTGAAAATTTAAGACCTCATCCAGAAGAATCTCAAAGATTAATTCACACCATTTTTTTCCCATCCACTGCTGCAATGAAGCCACCCAGGCCCATATTGTGGGCGTCATTCTTCCAATCGGATCTCTCTCTAGGTCCTCACATCCCGGTTATGTCTGAATCTTGCCGATTCTTTCTGCAGAACATCCCTAAGATACGGCCTTTCCTGTTCATCCACACCACTAAAACACTCATCCTGATTCTCATCATCTCATGTCTCCATTACTACAACAGCCTTTTCTCTGGCCTTGACAAATGCAATCTTGCCCTGCTCATACCCATTCAGAATGATGCTGCAAAGATCATTTTCCTAGCCCATCACTTTGACCAAGTCATCCCCACTCTTTACATTTCCCCACTGGCTCCCCCTTCTCTGTCATTTCAAATATAAGCTACTTGTCTTCACTTTTAAGGGCCTTCATGGCCCATCCCCACCCTACCGATCATCTCTGATTCAGTATCAAAATGTCAACTTCTACCTCAGATAGACCCATGATGCCAGCATCCATTGACCACTAGATAATTTTCAGACAAGAGCTTTTGTGCTTTCTCCCATGCTGAACCTTCACATTTGGGAGGAGCTCCCAGTGAACAGCGACAAAGCTACCTCATTATCCTCCTTAAAACTCTCCTTTGCCCTGATGCTAACCAATATTGTCTCATTGTTTTCTTGTATTCCTCCATCTGTTTGTCTGTATCCATCTTTTTTGTCTCTTATCCTAGACTTGGATTGTGAGCTCTTTGGAGCAGGCACTGGCTTTGTGTTCTGTGTTTGTACAGTACCTAACACAATGGGGTTCTGGTCCATGACTAGGGTTTCTAGGCCTTATGGTAATACAAATAAATAAATAATAATAATAATGATTAAATTTCTGTTAGCTACATAAAAATTTTAAGTTCATGTCTTTCATTTTTTAAGGAATGCCCCTTACAATCTTCAGAGGGAAGACAAAAGTTCACTGACTTTATTAGCTATCCAAGAGGGGCAACTTTTGCTATAGCTGCCTGGAGTTTGGTTTGATCAGGATGTTCAGAGTTTTACTAACCCAGTTTTGCTGACACTAAGCACTGCCAAGCTTGATATTCTGTGGTGCTATGGCCTTGCTACAAGATTCCCCTCTCCCCCTGCCCCCCCGGGATGAATACAAATAAAAGCAATTCCTGGAGTCCAGTCCATGGATGAACTTCAGCAGTGCTACCAACTAAAGAAGGGGCTGTTCTACAGATTATCTTAATTGATATTTGTTAAGGAAATCTCTCTCATAAAACTGGAAGAGACCCTGCCACCCAGTAGTCCATATCAACACCAAAATTAGAGTGGTTTGAGGATAGCTTTATTTAATTATTTATCTATTTTAAATAAGGCTGCCACATTGTGACTAGATACACTGTTGAAATTCAGCTGCCGGAACTATGGAGGTGGGAGACCTTTATTTAGCCTGATCTTCCATCATGAAACCTCCTCCAGATTTCCAGCACAACCGCTGTCACAACATATGTCAGACTGCTGACTAATGGGGCCAATTCAGTTGATCCTGATGACCCCTTCATTGCTATTTAGTTGCAGTTGTCACATGATCTGCTCTTACATTAGGATGTTTTATTCTGAATTAGGGATGTTGAAAAAGCCTCAGTAGAATTGTGCAAAATTCAAAATTTGTGCTTTAGAGATTCTCCCCCCCCCCCCCTTTTTGGGGCTGTGTGTGTGAAAAATGCATGCTGTTCTGTTTGGCACAATGTCACACATCCAAGATTTTACTCTATGTGAAATCTCTATTATCTAGCCAATCTCCATGGCTATTTGCTCCTTCAAAACACATACATTTTGCATGTTTTCAATGCAAAAGCATATTCATAACCAGAATTGATCCATATTTCACTCAGAACATTATTGTACCTTAGAGGATGTTTTAAAAACATTATTTGGCTTGTAACAAAAAGTGAAGAAACAACAACAAACTCCATGATTTTGAAGTAATATTTGCATTTCCGTCAGAATAATTTGTACATCTGTCTCAGAAGCATCTTGAATTGTCATTTTGTTCACCATGTAGCAACATCTAAAAGTGTGACATTCCACAGCACTAGAGGTTACCACACCCATTACCAAAATCACACACAACCGTCTATGCAGAAAAGGGGTTTTATATGAAAACTTCCAACATTTCACTCACGCTATTCAAAAATTCAGAATTTGGGAGGGAAATTCCCTGGCAGGAGCTTGTGTTTCTGTTTTAATAAGAAAAGTGCCAGAGGAAGTTTCATGAAAGCAACTGCACATCCTGCTTTATTATACATGGAAGTGCTGGACTAGTCCCTAAATTATACAGGTAAGACATTAAACCTGCCCCCCTTCTTTGTACCTAACCTCAGCAAATGTTAAACCCAAGATGATGGTGATGATCTTTTCCAGCTGTTTATTGCTGACCAGTCCAATTATTGTCCAATTAAAATGAATAATGATTGCCTGAATGATAATGCTAACGCTGCCTTTTGTCCCGTTAATATAGGGTAATGGGCACTACAAAAGCTCTTTTTACGGCGTCTCCGCCATTTCCTGGTTTGTGGATGATGGGAGAAGCTCCTACCCTCCAGCAACACAAGGGTTTTGTTTTTGACAAGGGAGAAAGATACACATACCCCTGCAGCCAAGCAGTCTAAAAGGGAAGCAGCAGGTAACAGCCCTCTGGCCAAGCCAATGCTTTCTCATATCAGGTTGCAGAACTGACATACCCTTTCAGCCTACCAGCCTGACAGACAGCAAGAGGACCCTCCATCCTAGATTCTCTGTCAACCTGGGGACAAACTCACATCTGGTGGGACAGCACCTTGGTTGCCCACCCTGGCCTCATCCACCATGGTCAGCATGTGCATGTGCAATACTCCCCAAGCCCAGAAGGAGAAGCCCTGGTTAATCAGAGGTTCCAACTGCACCCCCAAAGCAAGAAGCAAATGAATGAAAACAGGCAGGATAGGCCCCATCTAAGCACCAGCTCTGAAGCAGAACAAAGTTCATTCCCTTGGGGTGAGTGTAGCAGTGGTTCTGTCATCTGATCTATCAGCTGAGGCCTGGGAAACATCCTGAAGCAGCCCAGGAGGCTTGAGAGGCATCTTAGCAGCCCAGGAGGCTTGAGA